AAAATGATGAGAAATGATTCATTAATGAGAGATGGTGATGTGAAAAACAAAGTTTTTGGTGATAATGTGTAAAGCAGCCATAAAATATAGAAGAATTAAAAAAAATATCCCGGACTGTTCAGACCATAAATCATTTTTTCATGTTTTTTTTTGGTGTTTAATAATTTGTGAAACACAGTAAAATCAACAAAGAAAGGACAAGACAGGACAATCAGACATGAAATCAAGAGACACTGCAAGCCAACACAAGAGGGCGGCATTCTGCATTCAAACATGAGATGAAATGACACTGCTGACACTGAGGGCAGCATTCAAACATCACACCACTGACACTGAGGGCAGCATTCAAGTTACTCAACATAAACTGAGAAACAATCACTGAGATTTGTTCCCAGTAACTGTTGATATATATATCAACCCATCATGCATTGGGTTTAGGCCCATATATAATCTAAAGTGCTTTGCTGAAAACGCGGAAATTGGGTTAGAAAAGGGAAAAATCAGGACTATTGTCACACGTGCATCAAAGATACCTCAATTAAAGCAGTTCCATTGCTAATGTTTAGATTATGCAAATTATATCTAAAGTTGAACACTTTTCAGATGCTTATCAACTAGTTATTATTAATATAAACATGCTTGTTATAACTAACCCCCATTCCAAGTTCACTGCTAACTAAGGTCAACCATTGTATCCTCAACAAACAAAAAATTAGTTTATTTTTATAAGCAGTAAATTAAAATGCATACTTAAAATTCAAACTAAAACAAGCGAAAGCAGCCAAAAAAAAAAACATAAAGAAACAGAAGAAAAACATTGAATAATACAAATTTTAATCACTGTAAAAATGTGTCATTTTTACAGCAAATAATCCAAAATAAAAAATAAATAAAAATAACTAAATAAATATAAAAATAAAATAAGATTAAATTAAAATAAAATAGCAAGAACATTATCTAAAATATTTAATTAATTTATAATAAGCTATCAACAACCACTATTAACTGGAAATAATCAGCTTTAACTAGCACTAACTGACCCAACTAACTAACCCTAACTAGGATAATTTACAAAAATAAGGAAGGTTAGTGGAAGCGTTACGTTACCAGCAGTGCACGGCTACTTAGGCCTAGGATATCTAGCAGCTCATCCATTTCACTGCTTAGTCTTACCCTTGCGTAATGTAAGTCAACACCGTACATCTCAAGGCGTTTCGCTTTGTCTAAGTAATTGTACTCGGCATCTGCTGGCGTTTGACCACTAGAAAGAGAAGAAAACAACAACTGAGCAGTGCTTATATAACATGATACTATGACAGAATTTATTTTCAAATATATTACAAGAGGGTCTGCAAACGGCTTTACAAAAATACATTGCCAAGCATGTGAGCGCCCTCTAGAGAGAATTTTAGGATAGGCTTACAAGCTAAACCACAAAGTACAATTATTATTCGTACATTTAAAGGTTATAGAATGAATGTTTTAAAGATTTACGTCAAAGTTATGTATATTGTATAGGGCACTTGTACGGCAACCGAGGTGGCTCACAACATGGCGTTTTATAAAACCATTTTTACAATTCATTTACATTTTGAAAA